CATCAAGTGCTGTCAAGGATTCAGAGAAAGCTGGATCACTCATATATTGCTGGTGGGGATGTAAAAGATTACAGCCCACTCTGGAGAATATCTGTATAGTTTTTACTTTCAAAACTCTATGTACAACTACCACACCACCTTGGAATTGCATTCCCTGCATTTATCACAGAGAAATGGAATCTTATGTTCACACAAAACCCATGTACTTAAAGTTTATAGCAGCCTTGTTTTTAATAGCCAAAACTGGGGAAACAGTGTACAGATGACTTCCATGAGGTGAATGGTTAAACAAACTGTGTTATATATCCATAGCATCGAATAGTTCTCAATAATTTTTTTTTATACGACGACAAACTACTGATACCTACAATAACCTGGATGAATCTCCACAGAATGATGGTGAGTGGACAAAGGGTAATCCCAAAGGTGACATGTAGGATTCCATTTAAGTAACATTCTTGAAATGAATAAATTATAGGAACGGGGAACAGATTAGTAATTGCCAGGGGTTAAGGAGGGAAGAGGGAGCAACACTGAAGAGACAGGGTCGTGGCTATAAAAAGGCAACATGATGAATCCTGATGTTGATGGAAATGTTCTCTACCTTGCTTGTATCAATGTCAATTTCCTGGTACTGTGGCATTTGCAATACATCTACTATATTTGCAAATATTACCATTTTGGAAATATTACCAAGATATTACCATTGGAGGAAACAAAGTAAGAGGTACAAGAGACCTCCCTTTTTCTCTCTGAGTTCTTAAGATTCTATGTGAATTATTAAAATGTAAAAATTAATTTAAAAAAACCTAAGTATATTTCTCCTAGATTGATCTTGCCTTTGCTTAGAAAACATTAAGGTAACAATAATTTTCCCAACACCTTTTATTTTCTTGAAGACAGTTTTAACAAAAGCTGTGCTTAGGGCTTTTCCTAAAAGGTTACAACTTCTACTAATCCTTACTGTTCTTCTTTGAGAACCCTCCAGGTTTTTGTTTTATTTGTTTATTTTACACCTTTCAAAAGCATGGAGACAAAAACCAGCAACTGGCATATATTACTATATTAGTCTGAGTTCTCCAGAGGACAGGATACACACACACACGCACACACACATACACACACACACACAGAGAAACAGAGAAGCCCAAGTTCTACTCTGAGTAAGCTCTAGACCTAGGAGAGTCGAATATAGTTCAAGACCAAGTCCAAGGCTTAAGGCAGAAGACTGACGTCCCAGCTCAAAGACAGTGGAGCAGAAAAACTTCTTTCTTAACCCTTCATCCTATTCAAGCCGTCCATGGGTTGGATGAGGCCCACTCACACTCAGGAGGGCAATCTGCTTCACTCAGTTTACTGATTCAAATGTCAATCTCCTCCAGAAACACCCTCAGAGACACAGTGAGAAATCACGTCTAACCAAATACCTGAGCACCCCCTGACCCAGGCAAATTGACACAAAAATTAATTTTCACAAGTACTCTCAATAGAACTAACCATTAAATGTAGCATCATGTCCTGCCTCTTTATCCCATGACAATTAATATAATAGACCACAACATTGGCTTCCGTTCCCTAATAGTAGCAACACTTACAAGTTTCATTTAACGTGAGGATAATTTTGACCTTATGGAGTCTCTCCCTACCCCACCTACCATTGCCACTTGTGGATTGTCATTTTGCCATGACTTTCTTTTACAAAATATCAATAAGCTCTATACTTTGGTAATGTAAGTTTAAATTTCATCTTGGTTGCATAAGTCACTTTCCATTTTGACAAAGCCTAAAAATATTTGTGTCCATCTCCTTGAATATGGGTAATGCATACCTATTGTTGGGCCCACTCTTAATCTCATGGTTTTCTTTATTTTCATTCAGGTCTCAATAGATATGCCTCAGCAGCCTGAAAGCCATTGAAAATGGCCTGTGGCCTTGTCCATCTAACGGAGTCCAGTAAAATCCTGGCCATGGAATGGGGAGCTAGAAAGTGAGAAGAACCAAACTCAGCACACAACTGAGTTTAAATCTCTGCGCTAAGAGATGATCAGACTCTATCATGGCTTCTAGTAGCATAAGACCCTGTCCCACGAATAACCCTAGGCCCCCGTGACAATGATGACAATGCCTACCTAAGAAAGCTCAAGGCTGCCAGGGGAACTTACTTTAGTTCTAGCCAATACCTGCTGATGATGGTAGGTTCAGGATCTTTCTTTCTTACAGCACTTACTAAGAAGGGACTCCTTCCTCTATCCCTTTGAGATGTGTGTGTATCTCCTAGGGACTCGAGTGTGTCTTTGCCCAGGATCTGAAAGCCATTCCTTTGAGGTGTAGTGCTCAGGAAGGACTGAGCCTCCGTCTTCTGGTCTCTGTGGGAGGTTAGAATCCTAACGTCTAATATTGCCAGCTGGCAGACACAGCTGGCCTGATGAGGCAGACGTTTAAAATGACCAATCTTTTGGAATGTTTCACTTGTGCCCTGACCCCTGCCCTCTCCCCACCTCACTCTCTGATTAGAATGCCATCACCTCTGCACAAATGCGAAGGAGCTCAGCCCCTTCCTCTATGGTCAGTAGTTGCTGAATAAAATCTGTTTTCACCGCTTTGATTAATGTCTGATTTATCTTTGACAAAATAAGTGAGAGTGATTGTTTTTAGCAACATGGCAGCTGCAAAGAGAAGCACAGACATGGCAGGAGAGGGAGGGATCACCTGACCCTTCTCATTTCATAGGCATGGTGTTATAAGTCTATAACAGCTGTTATAAACACCTGCCTGTTGTTTATAAGTCTGTGACTTGGCTGGGCTGCCCTAGGGTATCACTTCATGGCTCTGCAGCAAGACTTGAATAGGCTGGTGGTGACACTTGGTGTGACCACAGCCACCTTCAAAGATGCCATTAAGGGTTCATAAGAAAATGAAGGGAAACATAGAAAAACTGATTTTGAAAGATATTTCCTCTCCCGCTTCCTGATACGGAGTGTGTATGATATTGCTGTGTGATGTTAGTTGGACTGCAATTTAGCACGACAGCTGTTCTAATAATTGGCAGTTTCTCCTCGAGTTAAGCCTACCTGATAAGGAAGCACACTTATGTTTATTGATTACCCCTGTGAAGTGAACAATACATTCAACAAGGCTTCTACCAAAAATGCCCTTGATAACCTCATTTTTATTCTAAGGAAAAACTGGGTACAACACAAATCCTCATCAACAGAAGAATTTAATACCGACTGTTATGTAGTCATAAAATGATCCCAGAAGTTCACTGCATAACATCAAAACAAGGAACCCACATTGATGCCACTGATGGCAGAAAATCATGATACAAAAATGAGAGACAGACGAGAGACAGAAAATGTACTATAGCCATAGTAGTGGGTAAAAGCCACAGAGCTCACTTTCTACTCATGATATTCATTAGAAAAACCAAAGGAACATGAGCCAATAACTCTAAGGGTCCAGGTCTGCACAAGGTGCCTGTTGGGTTCAGGGTTCTGTTGGTCCAGTGATGTATCTCAGGTGGGCTAATTTTTACAGACATAGCCTCTGCAAAAATCTATCAAAGAATAATAAAGGGATAGCTATTTGCATGCTAATTTACCATTGTGTAGCAGGGAGAAGAGGCATTAGATTGTTTTCGTCAAATAAAAGTAAAACCAACATTTATGAAGGAAAGAGGAGAAGAAAAAACTCACCTAGGACCTTTGTGATTTTGCTTCCCTTGGATAAGAGACTTGACAGAAAGCTTTCAAAGAGGTCACTGTGGCCCGTCTTCTCCGGACCCACGGTGCTTGGTCACCGCAGAAAACAATTACAGACGTTGGAGGACTTTAAAATATCCTAGAAGTTTAGTAGTTCATCCTATGCCACAGAATATCTGTGTGATGTCCACCATGTCCTTCTGTTGTACACTCCTTCAGTTAAGCCAGGAGGATGCCTCTCCCCTCAGTGGAATATCATATATCGATGTGTAGAAAGTTTGTTGTGCTGGCAAGTAAATGACAAAATGGACATTGATAGACTTGGGAAACAAATTGGAGTATAATCTGTTACCGCTCCCATGGAAGATACATTTGCAGAATGTACTCAGATGAGAAGCATCAAATAAATGCTGTAATGTAAAAATGGCACATCCTGTTCTCTACACTATAGAAATATCTGCAGGAGTGACCAAAGATATGTGTACAAGTATGGTAGAGACTGCAACATCATTTGTTATCCTAAAATCATGAAACTCACCTCATTTCAAAAACATCTTGAAAAGGGTTAAATAAATCATGCACAAACTGAGGAAGAAAGGCTGTTTTCACAAACAATGGTGAGGATCACCAAGAGGATGACTGATTCCACTGGTCACATTATTAATAGAGCAATCAGTAAACCCTGGAACATCCTGGGGATAGGATACTGCTGTAATAGGCCTCCTATTATTAAACATGAAAAACTCGAGGCACCTTACTCCCCCAAGCCTTCCATGAGAGAAAAGAAGATCTTTATCACACCAGAAGTGAGTTCCTGTCTAAGGTCTCTGGGATTCCTGAGTTTGACAGGTATAAGGCACCATGGCCCTTACCAAGCCTCAGACTTAAGAAGGCGGGGAAGAGGACATGTGTGTCTCCTGATTAGGCTGGAGTTGATTATGCATCAACTGAAAGGAGCGCAAACCCGGGAGGCGGAGCTTGCAGTGAGCTGAGATCCGGCCACAGCACTCCAGCCTGGGCAACAGAGCGAAACTCTGTCTCAAAAAAAAAAAAAAAAAAAAAAAAAAACACCACACAAAGCGACTCGCCCCTAGGTGGGACCGAACTGCGCTACAGAAAGCGCTACGCTGTTTCTACGGAGCACTATAGGCAGGGCACACTCACCGAACTCCCCCCATCCCTTCTGTCCTGAGGGCCCACCTGGCAGGACAGAAAACCGGTGAGATGAGAGCGGTGAGTCGCGCTGATCACGTTGCACACCCGCGAGTTAGGAGATTCTGGAGCCAGAAAGACACCCGAATGGCCTTCGCCCGCCCTGCCCCTCGCCTGCTTTGAAACGCCCTGGTCTGCGACCCGGGCCTGAGCCGCCTGGGGGCCCAAGGGAAGCTGAACGCCAGGTGGGCTCCCAGGATGGCTCTTCCCGTTCTTTGCGCCGCCCTCACCCAGTGAGGGAGCCTGTGCCCACCCTGCCCAGTCACTTTCAGGGCCGCTGCGGAGTTTCCGCTGCCGTCTTCGGATCCTGTGTCCGCGCGCAGGGGCTCCACCAGGGCAGGGATGGTGGTGAGAGTCGCTCTTGGTCCCCTCGCGGGGAGCAGGGTCTGCCACTCACCAGGGCGCACGACTAGGACTTGTCCAATGAATCCATCCTCGCCTTTAGCTTTTAGTCCTTTGAAGAATCCTGAGAATGTAAATCATGAACTATTTTTCTATGGGGAAGTTTTGTTTTGTTTTGCAACAGGATCTCACTTGGTCGCCCAGGCTGGAGTGCAGCGGTGCAAAAATGGCTCACTGCAACCTCGACCTCCCGGGGTCAAGCGATCTTCGTGCCTCAGCCCCCAAGTAACTGGGACTACAGGCGCGCGCCACCACGCCCGGCTAATTTCGTATTTTTTGTAGAGACAGGATTTCCACATGTTGCGGAGGCTAGTCGCGAAGGGAAAGTAAGTTCTTTTTTGGAAAGCATTTATTCCGATTGATTTCTCGGCATCCCGTGGGGCTGGCAAGGGGCGAGGCCTCCAGTGGCCTCTCTTGCCACTCTGAGCGGTGGAGCTGCGGGGACTCAGCTGCGCTGTTTTTGGGTGCCTCTCTGGGGCAGGAGGCCGGGAGCCGGGCAGGGGGTGAATACAACAGGGAATTGCGAGGAGGAGGGCAAGGAAGGCGGCAGAGGCGTGCACCCGGGAGACGAAACTTCGCAGTAGCTTTGTGCAGCGGTAAGGACTGCACAAGGGAGAGATGAGAAGTGTTTTTCTATTGTAGCAGAATGGGGAAGAAAGAGAGGAAAAATGGAGAGACACCAAGGAAGAACAAAATCTACGCGGGCCCTTACCTCTCCAAAACGGAAGCAGCCCTGCATTAAGTTTAAAGAAGGAGCCCAGCGCGCTTCAGCTTCTATGGCTCGCGGTGACAGTATTGTGGTTAGTCCTCTGCACTGTGGCCGCAGCAGCTTTGGCTGGAAGCCGAATCACCGCAATGTCCCTCCTAGGGTGTAGTGCTCTTTTTTCCCTTTCGCCTCTAATCTCAGCCTAGGCTGCGCCGTTTACCTGTAGCTAGAGAGGTCACAACTTTCCTGTGGCTTTGGAGCTCTCTGTAAAGAACCCCTACCCTGCATGCCTAGAGGTCCGATCATCTTGAAAGACTTTTACGCCCTCTCTGAGCAAGTACAACACCCAAAAGGTGAGGTGCCCCCTCTCAGTCAACCTTATCAGAATCTTTTACTGTTGACATGATGTGGCCGTACCCGTTTTTCTGGCTCAGATATTTCAAAAATCCGGGGGGATGGCCAGGCGCGGTGGCTCAAGCCTGTAATCCCAGCACTTTGGGAGGCCGAGACGGGCGGATCACGAGGTCAGGAGATCGAGACCATCCTGGCTAAACGGTGAAAACCCGTCTCTACTAAAAAATCAAAAAAAAAAAAAAAAAAACTAGCCGGCGAAGTGGCCGGGCGCCTGTAGTCCCAGCTACTGGGAGGCTGAGACAGGAAATGGCTAAACCGGGAGGGCGCGGAAGCTTGCAGTGAGCTGAGATCCGGCCCACCACACTCAGCCTGGGTTGACAGAGCGGAGACTCCCGTCTCAAAAAAAAAAAAAATCCGGGGGGGGGCCCTTCAGGCCAATCAGAATGAACAAGAGAAGACGAAGTTCCACTCCAACTGGGTATTAAGTAAAACAGAAAGATACAATAAAACTAAAGTTAATACATTCCCCACCACAATCTTTAATTGTTTTTATGTATTTATTTATTTATTTTTATTTTATTTTATTTTTGCTATCAGTAAATGACTGAGTATAATCCGCAGAGACCAAAGTGCACCAATCTTAAGTGTGTGCCAGTGCATTTTGACAAAAGACCATCACATAGATGGAGTTATGGGAACGTTTTCCAAACAGACCAGAAGCTCTTGGAGCCCTTTCGCATGTCAATCCCCTCACCCCATCCCCACTTAGCAATCACTCTTTCTGATTTTCTATCTCCTGATTTTACTTTTGCTTCTTGTAGAAATTACGGTCAAACGACTATTACTGATTTGTGACTTTTTTTTTTTTTTTTAATGACAACAATGGTATGAGATGCTGTCCATTTTATGCATGTATCTCAGCTCTTTGTGTTTATTATGAGTGGTCTATGTCCACATGGGTGAATAATACTACAGTTGATGGCACACTTGTGTATTTCTTGTTTGGCGATATTGGTTGAATAGGGTGTTTCCAATATTGCTCACTATGGGCTTTTTATGGGCCTGTGCTCTTGCAGTTTCTGTTGGTATAACCATAGTAATGGAATGGGTGGTTCATGAAGTAAGTTGTATTTTTAACTGTATTAGAAACTATCAGACAGTGTTTTAGAATGGTGGCACTACTGTATTCTCTCTTTCTTTTTTTTTTTTTTTTGAGACAGAGTCTTGCTTTGTTGCCCAGGCTGGAGTGCAATTGCATGATCTCCACTCACTACAACCTCCGCCTCCCAGGTTCAAGCAATTCTTCTGCCTCAGCCTCCTGAGTACTTGGGATTACAGGAGTGCACCACCATGCCTGGCTAATTTTTGTATTTTTAGTAGAGACATGGTTTCACCATGTTGGCCAGGCTGGTCTCAAACTCCTGACCTCATGATCTGCCCGCCTCAGCCTCCAAAAGTGCTGGGATTAGAGGCGTGAGCCATCGTGCCTGGCCTATATGCAAACTTTTGTATTAGAATAGAAAAGTTGAGAAGATAGTACACAGAATGGAGTAAAGAGGATGGAATGGGTTTTCGGAAACCAATTCACACTTTAAAGTTGTTTTAACACACCTCACTCCCAAAGAACAATGCATGTTCTCCAAAGACGTCCCTTTATTAAAATATGCACAGAAAGTGTGGGATAAAAGAGCATATATTAAACTGCTCAGAACGTGTGTCTAGAAGTGGACAGGAGAATGGGAGTGGGATGAACAGAGAAAAGAAGGAAAGACAGTAAGGGCCTTGCTGAGAGCAGCTACCATAATGTGCCCTGAGCTAAGGTACATGATTACCTTCTTCCTGTGCACCTGAGATCTAACAGAATATATTGACTAATCTGGGATATGGAATTTCAAAAACACTACAGGAAAACAAAAAACTTACCCAAACAGAACAGCCTAGTTAAGAAACGCAGGAAGAGATTTTATAAACAAAGCAGAAACACAGAAATCATACAATGAGGTGGTGGGAATGAGACTAACTATGCCATCATCTCCAACATAACACTAATTACTCTGAATTATAATGGATCTAAGTCTCTCCGATTGGATAGAAAAGGAAATGCCAGCTCTAATGGTTTAATGGCAGGAAAGGGTTAAATATTCAAAGCAGTGCACATTATTATTATCATTATTATTATTATTATTTTGAGACAGAGTCTCGCTCTGTTACCAGGCTGGAGTGCAGTGACTCGATCTCGGCTCACTGCAACCTCTACCTCCTGTGTTCAAGGGATTCTTCTGCCTCAGCCTCCCAAGTACCTGGGAATATAGGCACACGCCACCATGCCCAGCTAATCTTCATATTTTTAATAGAGACAGGATTTCACCATATTGGCCAGGCTGGTCTCAAACTCCTGACCTCGTGATCCACCTGCCTTGACCTCCCAAAGTGCTGAGATTACAGATGTGAACCACCACACTGGGTCAAAAGCAGTGCACATTATCTTTAGCAAGCTAACACAGAAACAGAAAACCTAACACCGTGTGTTCTCACTTATTGTGAGAGCTGAATATCAGAATGCATGGAAACATGGGGTTGGGGGGTAAGGACAACACACACTGGAGCCTGTTGGAAGGTGGGGGTTGGGAGGAAGGAGAGCATCAGGAAGAATGCTAATGGATGCTGGGCTTAGTACCTGGGTGATGGGATGATCTGTGCAGCAAACCACCATGGCACAGATTTACCTAAGAGACAAACCTGCACATCCTGCACATGTACCCCTGAAATTACAATAAAAGTTGGAAACAAAAAATGTAAAAAGGAAAGAAAACAAACAACAACAACAAAAAGAGCGGTGCAAATCTGTACCATGCTCGTTATAAACAAAAGAATGAGAGTGAAAACATGAATGTCTGACATAAGCAAACAGCAAAAGAACGCTTTATGTTAGCTAGAGGAATATCCCAGCATCTAACTAGAGTCAAATGGAACTGTTTTTCCCTGAACTGGCCTCCTTGGGTGGCCGGCCAGGGCCAGGTGAAGGGAAGAAATCTTGGAGTGAAATGTCCATTTCTTCGCTCTTGTTTAGGTCTCTGTAAGGCATAAGAAGTTAAAAGCAAGATCTGGTCCCTGGCATTTTCCAGGAAAGAGGTGTAGGACAAGGGAAGTTCAATTATCGCCCTGGTCTGTTGGAGTATCCCAGGCACAGTCCCAAGAGTTCAGCTTTTCAAACTCCTGGGTCCTGAAGGCCTTTTTGAGGAAAGTACTGATGTTCCTGTCAAGGTTGGGAGGAAAGGGTTTGGGAGGCACCAAGCAACGGGGAGGCAAAGAGAAGACATCAACAAGCAAGGCAAGGACTTTCCACAGGTTCACACTGGATACAGTACTAGAGACAAGAAGCTGCGTGAATTTCTGATGTTTTCCTACAGAGGTTTGTTACCCAGTTGCACAGAGTCTACTCAGAATAAGGCTTTTTCAAGTCAGCTCTTTTAATGTGAAGCCATAACTTTGTGGTGTTGCTTGATGCAAATCTCCACTGCAAGCCTTTGCTCTGGGTGTCTTTTTTGTTAGCCACATCTTCCAGAGAGAACAGCGAAAATCTTGACTCCTGTCCACAAGTCTGTATCTTAACTGTTTCCAAGGCTGCAGAGCTTGGGGTCAGCAGGCATTGGCAGTTGGGTGGTAGAATTCTCGCCTCCCACATGGGAGACCTGGATTCCATTTCCGGCAAATGCAGCGTCCTGTCTTTGTGCCCTGTGGTTTTTACATTTACTTACTGTGCCGCGCTAATAAAGGAAAAAAAGGAGGCAGAAGTGGACGGGGGCGGGGGGCGGTGGGGAAGGGGGCAGAAATACTGTGTAGTCCTCCTTGAGTTCTTTACGCAGCGGAATTTATTTTTCTTTTATTTATTTATTTTTGTTTGTTTGTTTGAGACAGAATCTCAGTCTGTCGCCCAGATTGGAGTGCAGTTGCACAATTCTGGCTCACTGCAACCTCCACCTTCCGGGCTCAAGTGATTCTCATGCCTTAGCCTCCCAAGTAGCTGCCATTACAGGCATGTGCCACCATTTCCTGCTAATTTTTGTATTTTCAGTAGAGACGGGGTTTCACCATTTTGGCTAGGCTGATCTTGAACTACTGACCTCACATGATCCACCGGCCTCGGCCTCCCAAAGTGCTGGGATTACAGGCGTGATCCCGGCCCCGGAGCGGAATTTATCTAAGCAGAGACTTTGCAGAGACAGTCTTTGAAGCAGCCAGTGGGTCTGGTTGGTCTCTGCATTTCTACATATTTGACCCTAAAACCGGCGCGACTTTTATCATCTCTGCTGTCGGATCCCTGCAATACTAAGAGTAACCTGGTCACTAATTATCTGCCTGGACCTTGGATAGACCATTGGAGCACATCTCGCGACGGAGTGCAGCTCAAGAAATGACATTCCCGAAAGGAGAGAAGCAGTGGGGTTGGGCGGACACACGCAGTGATGGGGAACTGGAACCCAGGGAAAGGGGAGGCGTGTAGGGAGGAACCCGCGTGCAGATGAGGGGAGCTGCGGAGAGGGGTCTCGGACCTTCCTGTCGAGGAAGGCCCGGTCTTTGGTGGTCTCGGCAAAATGAAGGATGGGCCCCGAGTGGAGAACAGCACGTCCCCAAAACTCATTTGTGTCACCCCTGTTTGTTTTACACTCCACCAGGCAAATCTTCTGTCCAAGGGTTTCTTTTTAATGCTTCTCTTGAAGCAGCGTGGTGG